TAACAAATAAACGGAAAGGTTGGACAAGAAAGGTAATAGGATAATCATTATTGGTGAGACCGACTTTTCATGATGGCCATGGTAGGGACAACGGTTGGATGTATTTCTTTTGGACACATAGAATAGGCTTGAGTTTTTGGATCGCCAGTGCCTCAGCTATTCCTAGATGTCTTGGTTTCACTCCCTTTGGTAGGTTGGATCGCATCTTATATATGTCTTTGAAGGACTTTTAATATGACGCTGGATGTCCAGAATTCACCAGATTTTCTGCTATCGAACTGTATATCCCTTTGCGTTCTCCCTTTGCTAGCCATTCTGGATAGTGTTCCTGCGCGCGTTTTACAAGCGGACGCATGGTACTGCCAATGTACCCAGCTCCATACGAGCAAGTGAACTTGTGTACGCATGTATGTCTCTTTAACAAAATATCTATGTATATAGCTACACTGTAATACTTCAGCTACCTTCTCCTCCTGATGTTTTGTCTCACCATGACATTCTTATAATACGGCCGTTGATAGACAAAACTTATAGGTTGTATGCAGCTGATGACGAGAATCAACGAAATAAAATTATTATTACTATCTCCTTTAGTTCCTAGAGGAACAAAGGGCTTCAGCCTCACGTCTTTATTGCGTTCGCGGTCCTCCACCAACGTTTTCACCTGGCTCAATGTCTGCTCACATGCTTTCATCTCCTCTTCACATCACCTCCCCCTCCTGCTCCATGTCACCCTCGTACTGACGACCAACTAACTAGCCACTAATCATTCGCGTTCCACTAGATCGATGGCCTGTCTTGTGATTTCACTTGATGGTTTCTTCCTGCTTATTTGTTGCACAATTGGTTCCTGCTAGGTTGGTTCGATCATTTGTTCCCAGAGATCCGTGTTGCTGATGTTTTCTGGCCGGCCATCTGAGCTGAAGCGATGTATTGAGTGAAGACAGCTGTTGACGAAGGTTTGTGGTTCGTTCGAAAAGGCCTTCGTCACGCGGCGCGGCGCCAAGTCTCTGATCCGTATAGTAAATAGCACTGACTGATTTCACATTGGAGTTGAAAATCCGGGTCTTATTTTTCATGGTGAGTGTTGTCGATCTCCACACAGACTTGAGAAAAATGAAGGCTTCACGTGCTTTCCCGATCCTTGCTACTTTGATGAGATCCTCATCAGTTCCATCCACCTGTAGTTGAAACGATGCTTGCCAGGTTGGTAGGTGAGTAAAGGAGGTTGCTTCTTTCAGATTCAGTTTCGCCCAGTGATGCTGGCTGATTGCTGTCTGTTGTTGTTGGTGTTGCTATTCGCCAGGAATCTTCATCACCACATCTGTTTTCTCAATGTTCACCTGAAGTCCTTCCTATCTTCTCTGGATGCTTCTTCTGCCAACTTGTTGCTTTTCAACCGCATATCTTCCAGTTTGTGTGAAATCAGACAAATATCATCACGGGCGAAATCCTGATGGTCCAAGTTTTTTGTGTGTGTCCATTTTATGCCTGTCTCCTCGTTCCTCGCCTCTGTCTGTCTGTCACATTATCCAGTCTACCGCAATCAGGAAAATCATTGGAGACAGTAGGCGACCAGACACCAAGCCAGCCTTGTCTTACTCCCATCTTCACTTCTTCAAAGGATTCCGTGAGTTTCCCTTTTGTGGATTACTTGGCATGTATAATTGTTGGCGGCACCCCTTGGTAGCAACGTAGTAGTAGTAGTAGTAATAGTTTCCGAATCACTTCTCAATCGACACTGCGCTGCCGAAGACCTTTTCAAAGTCAATCAGTAGTGTTTATATGGTTTTATTCTATTTACTTTCGATAAAATAAATAAGTAAATAAATATATCTTCATTGAATAAAATTATTTAAAAAAAATAAACAATAACAAAATAAATAACTTAATAAACAAATAAAAACAGAATGTACTTACTACTACTAATGATAATAATTCTGCTTCTTATTATTTATCATTATCATTATAATTGTGTTTACTGAACACTACAAACATAACTCGACGGGTGTTTAGATGTGTGTTGGTGTGTATGTGTGTGTTGGAGTGTTACACGTAAACAAACAGCATGAATCAACTAAAACGATGCTGATTGTAAACAACTTCTGTATTAGTAATAGTCTCAGGATAGAAGTACACTTTGGACGAAACAAACAACACAATAGGTTGACCACTGACTGGACGTTGTTTTCCCTTTTTTTCCCCAATGTGTTAATCTTAAAAGTATACGACCTTTACAACAGGGAGAAGAAGACGAAGCAGAAGAGAGTTCTCCCCTACCCACCTCATCTGCTACATCATTATTTCTTGTGAATTCTATAGGTCAAATTAGATACGAATATATTGTTTTGATGATGAATGAATGCATCAAGTTTGTTTTGATTGAAAGATACATTCACAACTCGATTCTACATACATATATATACATTGTATATTATGCTTGAATAAAGAAAGAATAATACGAGCTTGTTTCATTCTGTCAGTTCTCTTCAACTGCGTACATCCTGACACAGAATCACTTATAAGTTAAAGGCGGCCTCTGAACATCCTTCCTTCTCACAATTCCAAAAATTTTCTATAGTTGGTTTGTAAGGATTAGATTTGTTTGTACGAGTTCGACCATGGATTGGTATCAGTTAGAGAAGCATTGAAAACCAACAAACAGGGAGTATTGGACAATCAACTGTTTCATCCCTCTAGTTTGGGAATCATCGGAAGTACGCACTCACCCCCGGGGTTTCAACCCAAGACCTTCCGGTTACAAGGCAAGCTCGTATACAATTTAGCCACTGGGACCCGATTCAATGGCTCATGAATTCTAACTTCTACCAATTCGTGATTTAGCGCGACCCCAACCATTGTCGTTGGTGGGATATCCATCCACACACGCGACACCTAATTGGACCTCACTGGTCACGACTTCTCACTAGAACTCCAGGAAACTCCATCCTGTAGCAAGTCACTAGCGAGCATCAGATTAATTTTCTATAGTTTGGTTTGTAAGGGTTAGTAATTTTTTCACGAGTTGATCATGGATTGATATCAATTGGAGAACCATTGAAAACCAGCGAGTACTGGACAGCTGCTGTTTCATCCCACTAGTTTGGGAATTATCGGCAGTACGCATCCATCGCCGAGGTTCGAACCCCCAACCTTCCGGTTACAAGACAAGCTCGCACTGAATCATGAATTGGTGGAAGTTAGAATCCATGGGCTGGCCTTTGAGGAGTAGGGTCCCACAATGTCTGAATGATATACCGCCTTGCCTTGTAACCGGAAGGTCATGGGTTGGAATCCTGGTGGTGGGTTTGTGTTGACGATGATTCCCAAACTAATGAGATGAAACAGCTGGCTGTCAAGTACTCCCTGGTGGTTGGTTTTCAATGCTACTCTAACTGATATCAATCCATCGTCAAACTCGTCACAACAAATCCAATCCTTACAAAGCAACTATAGAAAAGTAATCTGATGCTTCCTAGTGACTTGCTACAGGATGAAGTTTCCTGGAGTTCTAGTGAGAAGTCGTGACCAGTGTCGGTCGGTCGGTTTTCGACATAGAACTTTGCACATATGTGCGGTAGTTCAAGTCGCCACACTCCCTCCTTGTAGCACACAAAGCAAGAGAAGAAAGTAGGAGAAATGCATATTAGAGACAGTAAACAGAGGTGTGAGACAAAGGAATAGTAATAACGAAGAACAGAACAGTTTCATGGGAAATCATGAGTCACAAGGAGTGGATGCATCTGCTCTGTCATTGAGAACGATTTTGAGCCAGCCATATCACCGATTGTCTCCAGCCATTGGTTTCTACCGTCCCAAAGACCCTGATAAGGAAGTCTACGCCTTTCCACGTCGCTTAAACTAATTGTTGTGGGTTTCATTGCCTGATCAAGCCATGTTTTGGTTTGACAAACACCACTAGCTCTTTTCCAACCTTACCTTATGTCAGCTAACATTGCCCGTTGGTAACGGAAGGCGATAGCTATGGATGCATGCATAACACATGTCCTATCCATCTCATTTGGTGCAACATCACAACCTCGTCGATTTATTCCTCTCCTTACCTAGTACTCGACCGATGCCTAACCTCAATATCCCTCACCCTATTATACCACCTAATACAGGAGATAGAACTCAGGCACCTATGATTAAAGACAGCTAGCTAGGCTTTTCAATGGCCATGTTTCGCTCACAGCCATAAAGGAGGATGGAGCGGACTGCTAGCAATACATATGCCCTTTGGTCGACAGCCAGTCAGATATCACGTCTTCTAAGCCAGAGACGGCGTTACCTGGCATATGCGAAACTGGCCTTCTATATCCATGCTGAAATTTCGTCAGCGATAAACCCGTTGGAGCTGATAGGGATTAGTGCTTGTTGCTGTTGGTTGGTCGGTTGTTCATCTTCTGCACCTCCATCTTCTCTATGTTCAACTGAAGTCCTGTCTTTGCTGCCAGTGTCTTCTGACAATTTTGTTGCCTATTAACTGCAGTCAGCTTGGCCGTCGGTGGCATAGCGGTTTGGACGCTCGCCGACCATGCACATGGTTCGGAGTTCAATCCCCGGCCGACTCACTCCTTTACCTCGCTAAGCCAGAAATAATGCTGGTGAAGAGGAAAGGTTGGGCATGAGGCTAGCAACCCCATCCTGTAAAATAAACACTGCTACAGAAACTTCAGGCCACTAGCTTGAAGCCCTATGTTCCACTGGGGAACGTGAAGCAGAAAAAAAAACTGCAGTCACCAGTTATAATTATTATTATTATGATTCCCAGTATTGTTATGTTACATATGTCCAAACCAAGTTCACTTTTAACGGTTTGAAAAAATTTGGGCATTGGGTATATGATATTCATTATAATAAAGGTTTTTGTATTTCCCAATGAATATCGTTTCGTTTGTTTTTCATTCATTGGGAAATACAAAAACCTTTATTATTATAATTGTTATGTTACTTCGGCTAAATAATTGTTTCTAAAATTTTCACTCTTATATATTTAGGCATGCCCTGATATGCACAACAGTAGTATATCAAAATTTCTTGGTGCTAAATGGAAATCTATGACTTCTGAAGCTAAACAACCGTATTATGAAGAACAAGCTCGACTGAGTCGTCAACATATGGAAGAACATCCTGCCTATCGATATAGACCACGTCCAAAACGTACATGTATAGTAGACGGTCGAAAGCTGCGCATATCTGAATATAAAGAGCTAATGCGTTCCCGTGGTGATTCATCAAGGAGACAATGGATTGGTTCAACAGATGAACAGGCACAAAAAATTGTTGAAGATATTTTAGGTAAGTTTTTTTTATTGATTTGTTTCTTCCACGAATAAAAATATATTTATAATCTTTGTGTACAACTTGGACACTATGTTAGTAAGTAATTCTATATTAATTTGTTTATTAGATATATCACACAGTGAAGAAACAGTATTATTTACTGGATGACAGTGTTTCGAACAAAATTTATTATTGTTCACAACCATATCATCAATTATAATCACACAACTTCGAAACTTCAGTTTTATAGTTTTCTTTGTCCTCGCCTGTTTTTCGTCGTAGGGGTAGTAGAATTTTCCAGATATCTGGGACAGGTGTTGAATCATTCCTATCACACGTGTGGATTTGCAGTTGATTCGATAAACAAAGCTTCTGTTATCAATCTCTCGCTCCACCCTGCTGTTACATTAGATTTTAAAACTGTCATCCTATCCCATCCAGCCTATTGTATGGTTGTGTGTAGTTGTATGTATTGCTATCTACGGCTGAATTATTCTCTAGATTTCTTATCTTATTCGGGTCAACAAATCTAGACTTTTCTAGGTTTTTATGTTCAGCTGGTCTGACTGCACCTGTTTTACTAGTTTGACCTATGCATTTGACCTGACAATCATTCCAGCAGGGTATTAGATAAACTAAATTGTTTTGTTTTAAAGGATCCATAGGATCCTTTAACCGACAAAGCTTGTTTCTAATTGAGTTTGTGGGTTTGAATGCCAGCCACTTTTATTCCTGCCTTGTTAAGAATTCTCCGGCGTAAGGTTTCCGAGGTTCCTTCTTTGTATGGAATTAATACTGATAATTTACATTCCCTAATGTTGGTGTTGTCTTGCACATGTTTGACATGCATGTAGTCATTCATATTACTATTATTATTATCACTATCACTACTATCATTATTTATTTTATTTTCTCATTTCCCTACATATTTCCTGACTAATTTATCAGGGTAATTATTAAGTTTCAAAGCTTCTCTTATATGTCTCACTTCCTGTCTTAGTTTTTCCTTGGTACTACAACTTAGTTTTTGTGCCCTATTGTCACTTAAACATTTCACCAATCCTATTTTCACTGACATAGAGTAGGTGTGATCATCGGAAGTCCAAATATCTGTTCGAATGTGTGGGTTTCCTGTAAACACTAGTGTGCTTAACTTCCCATCTTCTTTCCTTTTTACGCTACAATCTAACATTGGAAGCTCCCCTTCCTGACTTTCCAATTCATAAGTGAATTGAATTGCCTCCACCTTTGAGTTAATGTGTTCGAAAAATCTATTTATATCCTGTGTTCTAAGTACAGTGAATGTGTCATCTACATACATCCACAATACTTTCGAGGTAGGGACGAACGTTTCATTCGCTAAGCTTTTCCCACCTATCCATGGATATATATCTGCCACAACCTGGGATATTGGTGACCCCATGGTAACTCCCTCAGTTTGTTTGTATATTTTCCCTTGGAATTTAAATACTGTGGAAGTTAGGCACAGTTTCATTTCCAGCATTATGTCCCCAAGTGGCACTTTCGTCCTAAGTTCGAGTTCTTGGTCAGAAATGAGTTCGTTTCTGACTGCCTCTATAGCCATATTTATTATCGGTATACGTGTATATAAACTGACAATGTCAAAACTAACCATTTTTTCTTCATTATCTAATTTTAGATTATGTAATCTGTTTTAGTTCATAAGAATTTGTTAGTTTTGATTTCGAGTGGCTTGTTCGAAACCTTGTCATCCAGTAAATAATACTGTTTCACACTGTGTGATACATCTAATAAAGAAACTAATATAACATTATATTTATAATCACCATAAAAGTTTGATCACTAATCCTGAATAGTTTAACAGTGAGTTTTCGTTGTTCCTTTAAGTTCCCACTGGAACATAAGACTTCAGTCCTCAGCTTTGACTTTTCCTTTTCAGTGGTTTTTTGTTTTTACTGAGTGGGGTTGCTAGTCTCCTGTCCAAGCTTCGCTCTTTTCTGAGCTTACTTTATGTTACTGGATGTTTGGGAGTGCGTAGTCTGGGGATGAGAACACTGGATCACTTGCAATGCTGTTGGCGAGCATTCTAACGTTGCATCACTGACACTGAGAAAATAGGTGACGTCTATTCTTTACAGGTTGTAGATACATCTTATCTCATGAGTGCCTGTAGCTTTCTATCAGTTACCTCTAGATGTCGCCATAGTTTCTATATGTGGCTAGGCTAATTGCCCCTTGTTTTACTAGGTTGAGCTATGTGCTTCACTTGACAGTAATTGTAATGCAGTAGATAAAGTAAATTAATTTTCAAGTATTGCGTTTTGTAAGGATTTTGTTTGACTGGTTAGAGGACTCCATCGTGAACTGACATCAGTTAGAGAACCACTGGAAAACCAGGCAGGGAGTACTAGACAGCTGTTTCGTCCCATTGGTTTGGGACTGTTCATCAGTATGCACCCAGTGAAGTGGTGGTTACAAGGCGACCTAGCTCGTAGACCATTCAGCCACTGGGACCCGGTCCAATGGCCTACGAGCTTGCCTTGTAACCAGAAGATCCTGGATCTGAACGCTGGTAGTGGGTGTGTGTACTGCCGATGAGTCCCAAACCAATGGTACGAAACAGACAAAAATTATAAAGTTAGTTGAAACATTGTATCAAGCGATATAGAAATCAAGTCTGAAGTTAAGTGTCTTGGATTAATTCTTTCTTCTGACCTACTTATCCTGATCTTCCCATGTCTTAGCGATTTCTAAAGGAATATCTCGTGTGACTTTTTACATTAAAAGGTTAAGGCGCTTAGGCGTAAGCCAACACCTTCTCCGCTTACAGTTTGTCAACTCGTGTATTTTACCTATTCTTCTTCACTGTGCACCCTTGCTTATGCTTTCCTGGATTGCTTAAAAAAGACTATGTCATACTTCGTAGAACTCTGAAGACTGTCAGTCATTAGGGCGAGTGGTATCCCATTGGGTCATATCGTTGACATTGTTACTGATAGGCACTTGATTTCATGCAGCAAATTTACTAAAGGAATTTTGTCAGACTGTGAGCATCCATCACAGCACTCGCAGCTCCAAACTTGTGTCTCCTCAGGTAAAACAAGAAGTCTTTTCAGAAGAATTTATGCACGTACGTCTAAGTATAAAAATTCCATGATACTTTATTTGGCACACATTGTTTTATTTGATGAAAATAGTGTCAGGCATGAACGAACTAACCTTCTTTACACTATTAAATAGACCATTTCCTCCATCTTTACAATATTAAGCTTTATTGTTACTGTATTTCTTATATTTATAATCCTCTCAATTTTTGTTTTTGTTTATTTTTTCATAAGTGCGAACATCATTTAAGCCGTGTTATAACTGTTAATTTTGTATTTCCCCTCACTGTACTATATCAACAGAACATTAGATTCAATAATCTATAACATGCTAACATTTTCAAACTGAATCGACGATACTGTTTGAAACAAACTCACTGTTATTATTATTATTATATTTAATATTCTCAATTCGTGCTTCGAATATTTTTGACTTTATATCGTAAATGTGGACAAATTTTTCTGGTTAATTTTGTTCTAATTTTATTTATATTTTGAGTAAATCAGATGGAATATTGCGAGAAATACTGAGAATTCCATTCTGTTTTTGGAATAAAGTAGATTATTATTATTAAGTGTGACCATGGATTGATATCATTAAGAGAACCGACTGTTGAAAACCAAGGAGGAAGTACTGGACACCTGTTTTGTCCTAGCTTGGGAGTCGTCGGAAGTGTGCACCCTCCGGATCTCGAATTCAGGACCTTCCAGTTACAAGACGATTTCATAGGCCATTCAGGTAATGTGACCTACCCGAATTATTGGTCCTTGAATTTCAACTCCTACCAGTTCGACATGTTTAACGTGACTGACACCAGCTAATGTCATCACTGGTGAGTATTTCTCCTCACTGCTGATCCACTTCAGGTAAATCCCACTCCTCACCTGACTTCTCATTAGAACTCCAGTGCGTCGGTGGCACAGATGTTAGGACTCTCGCCGACCATGCACATGGTCCAAGGTTCGATCCCCCGCCGATGCACACCTGATATCTATGGTCGACCTGCAAAATTTGAGCTACCGAGATCACATGCTGAAAATTTCATACTTGTACCAAAAAGACGGTGTGGAATCAAGCTATAATAAAATAAAATTTAAAAAATTCTGCAGTAGATCACCAGTGAACATGAAATTTATTTTCAAAAGTTTGTTTGTAAGGTTCGAACGCTGGCGATAGTTGTGTAATGTGTATGATTCTCAAGCTAAGTGGAAACAGCTGTCCACTTTTCCCTCCCTGGTTTTCAATGGTCGGTTCTTTAAAGGATGTCAATCAATCCGTGATAAAACTTGAAAAAAAAATGAAATTCTTACAAACAAACTCTTAAAAATCAATATTGTAATTAAATCATTCAGACAGGATTTTCCAAACAGTCTTTCCGTCGGTCGGTGATTCAATCAGAAGTCCTCTTTAAGGAAAAAAAATTATTTTTTGGCTTTTACCTCAAACCTCGATGCCGCTAACAATTATACATCTCAACCAACAGTTGTACGATAATGCTGCGCATGTCAAGTAATCCACAAAAGGGAAACTCACGGAGTCCTTCGAAGAAGTGAAGACGGGAGTAAGATAAGGTTGGCTGGCTGGTTGGCTGCCTACTATCTACAATAATTTTCCTCATTTCGGTAGACTGGATAATGCGACAGACAGCGACAGGCAACGAGGAAATAGGCATGAAATGCATCCACACAAAATACTTGGAGGATCTGGACTTCGCCGATGATTATATTTTTCTGATTTCCCACAAACTGGAAGATATGCAAGTGGGAAGCAACAAGATGGCAGAAGAAGCATCCAGGGAAGATAGGAAGGACTTCAGGTGAACATAGAGAAAACAGATGTGGTGATGAAGATTCCTGGCCAACAGCAACAGCAGCAACAACAGACAACAATCAGTCAGCATGAATGGGAGAAATTTGAAAGAAGCAACC